GGTGCGGGAACCACGCTGTGCTTGTCGCCCAGGTGGGCTGGCAGCCCTGTCACCCAGCACGGCTGCTCGGGGCGAAAAGGGCTTTGGGGCATCTTCTGCCGCCCGGCCGCGTTACATGACTTCTGCTGGGTTTGCTACAGAGCTGTGTCCAAAGAGGCAAAGCTTGGGGGGGCTGGGTGAGGAAAGGTGCTTTTCCTGCCTGTTGTTCTGTCAGCGATCTCCCGGCCCTCAGTGGATCCCTAAACGTACTCATTGAATCCTTCCAGCAAAGTTAACCTGCGGACAGTAAGGTTTGTGTTCTTTAGTTACCTTGTGTGATCCTTTAGAAGGAATCTCTGTCCCCCAAAGCCTGTGACCGCTGTAGAAACCACTGGTGATGGGTATATGGGATCTTTTACTTCTGAAGCGTTTTGTTATGGGATCTTCTGAAGCGTTTTGTTAACCATCCTGTTGTCCTCTCTGCATCATGTCATTCCCTGCTCTGCTGTGACGCAGGCTGCTGGAGTCCATGATTCCTGTGAAGATGATTAATTTCCCACAGGTGAGTTCGCTTGTGTTGAGTCAGACTCCATAGTCCAAGTGACTGTCCTGCAGACACCTTGTAATACTTAATTAGTCCGTATTATTAAGGACCTGAGTTTGTTAGGTTTTCGTCTGCCTGAAAATGTTAGTAAACCCTTTCCTGTGGTTGTTCTGAACCCCAGTGTGCTACCTTTAGTGCTGGTACAGTTCTAGACCTCTAGACTTCACGCATCCCAGACTCTTCCTCGCACAACCTGTCCTGCCTGGCTCCTGTCAGCAGTGGCCTTGCTGTTACTTCTCAGGCGGATAGGTGGTAAACTTCATCCAAGGCACCTCTCACATTGCTTGAGGTGGGGAGCCTGGCATTCAGGAGCGTTAACCAAACTTTCCCTCACTTGTCTCCTCTTGTAGAAGATTGCAGGCGAGCTGTATGGGCCCCTCATGCTGGTTTTCACACTGGTGGCCATCCTTTTGCATGGGATGAAGACCTCGGACACCATCATTGTACGCCGAGTTTCAGTGATAAGTTTGGGTTTGACTGGGCTCTGGATTGCTGTAATGATACTAGAAAGGGAGAGGAAACCTCCTCCGTGACTGAAGAGCATCTTGCTGAAAAGCAGACTGATGTGAGGAAGAACCTGTTGTTTTGGGGATGGGAGGAAGCATGCATCAGAAGATCTTGGTGCTCTGCTGCTGGGAGAGCTGGGGTGTTGGTCATGTAGCACCCTGGATGCTGCTAGTCAGCTATTTGATAATGCCTGGAAAGGCCTTGGGAACTCTCTGTGGTGGAATCTGGGTGCTAGCAGGTCAGTTAGAATCATAGAATAGACTATAACTCCAGTTGGAAGTGACCCATAAGGATCATCGAGTCCAACTCCACGCCCCTCGCAGGAATACCTAAAACTAAATCATACGAGTAAGAGCGTCATCCAGATGCTCCTCCTCACTTCTGTGAGTCCTCCTCATCCTGACACTGTCTCCACAGAGGGAAGGCACACTGATGGGAACAGCCATTGGCACCTGCTTCGGTTACTGGTTGGGCGTCTCCTCTTTCATCTATTTCTTGGCATATCTGTGCAACGCCCAAATCACGATGGTGCAGATGCTGTCACTGTTGGTATGTACAGATGGGGATGCCCCAAGGTGCGGGTTGGCTGCACGGTGTTCCAGCACGAGGGTGGCCTGTGAGCTCTTCCCAGAGAATGGGAAAAGTCCTTGTATACCAGTGGTCCCAGGTGACTGCACTGGGACAACCTGGCATTCCAGGATGCTCTTCTGACCTGCCCCATCTCAGGCACAGCGATAGCACAAAGAGGGAGTTCTGTCGTGCAGGTCGCCTGCTTTGCACTTCCTGATCTCAGAGTCTGGTGGTAAAAAAGCCCAGGAGTTTCCAATTTCTCTGGAATCAGGGGCTCTTTCCTCTGTGTCCCAAGCTGTTGCAATCTCTGATGTCCCTGTGAATCCTTCGGACAGATTATCTGGGTGTGAGCTGCTGTTAAAATTGTTGTGCTGGTTGACTCTTTGGCATTGAATGAGTGGTTTGCGAAGCTTTGCCTTGGTGAAGCATCGCAGGAGTGGGCTGCTCGTGCTCTTGATCAACAGCCCCTTTGTGCGGTACTGACACCTGTAACAGGGGCATTTGTGTTTTGTCAGGGCTACGGTCTTTTTGGACACTGCATCACTCTCTTTGTCACCTATAACATCCACTTCCACTCCCTCTTCTATATCTGCTGGTTGGGTGTTGGTGGACTCTCTACACTACGAATGGTAAGGGACAGGCAGCCTGGGGCCCTCCTCTTCTGGGGACAAAAAAAGGGAGGGAGGCGTTGTTTGCTTTCTGTTCCTTGGGCCTGGCAGTTGCTTTCACAGCCAGTCAGGCTGCTGCGAAGAAGAGCCTGACGCTCCTGGGTCATTTGGCTGCTGGTGTGTGGAGGTGACACTTGGCTTAACGTTCTCACACTTCTTAACAGCTGCAGGAGGTTTGCTTCCTTACAGCCCTGCTGCTGTGCAGAGCCATGCCTGAGCACCCCGCGCTCTTTGTGAGACTGGGCAAGGTTCATCTACACGAAACAACATCAGATTACTCTGAATTCGTTGGTGCAAACTGTGAAAAAGGCTCTGAGCAGTGTTTCCGCTGGCTCCCACTACTTCGCCCATCCTCCTGTGTGCTCCTGACTGGAGTGCCAGAGGCTCAGGTAGCAGCTACCTTGTCTCTAATCTCCACATCTCTCCTAGGTTGCTGTGTTGGTGTCGCGCACCGTGGGCCATACCCAGCGGCTCATCCTGTGTGGGACCCTTGCTGCTCTGCATATGCTTTTCCTCCTCTATCTGCACTTTGCTTATCACAAGGTGGTAGAAGGTAAGCAAAGGAGATACGAAGACATATTCTGCTAGATCTGGGGGAAGGGGAGAAGAGGAGATGCTTTTTGTTCTCTCAGAGAGAAAGGATGGACAGTTTGAATCTGACCTGAGGGCATCTGTGCCAGTTTCCAACCCAAGAGTGACCAGCACTAACTTTATTAGAGGCAGCTGTTGAAGTAGGGCAGCAGGTAGATGTGGGGTAGTCTATGTGCACTGAGTTTTATTACTTAGTT